TTCTGTTCCTGTGCTACCAGTGATTTTCTGTTCCTCCTGGTTTTTGTCATTAAATCATCTCTTATCATGACTACCTGGGATTACCGGCGTCTCTCTCACCACCACCAATAACCACACATCATGACAGGACCTACAGTATCAACTGAGTGATTCATTGCTACTGAGCAGAAGGGAGGCTTTCCAGGGGTTTGGTTTTGCTAAATATAATCTGTGATTAAATTAAATATAATCTTGGTATATTCTTTCTTCTGTTGGGTTAGATTTTGGTGTCATCAAATCTTCCCTCTTCCCAACTTTAGCAGTTTTGGCTCCAATTTATATTCCACAATAACAAAGAAATGTGTTAATTTACTTGAGGTGGCAAGAACAAGCAAAGTTCTTGTGACGTTTTTTAAATGGTGATGGTAAAACCATAATCTCACCTGCAATGATTTCAGCACATTTTCTGTAATGTTTTAACACTCTAATGAAATACGTTTATGTAAGTCCAGTTAAATCTACCATTAGAAGATTGCTCATGTTTGTTTTAGCTTTAATAAGCGTAATAACTTCTCATACTTCCTAAAACTCATCAGGCTGAAATAGCAATCAGATCCTCACACTGCAAAAACACAAAATCTTTGTCTAATTCCTACTACTGCTATTTTAGTACACTTGAATTAAGACAAAAATAACTTAAAAGTTACTTTTCAGCAAGATGAATAAGCTGTTTTAAGTCAGTTATTCTTTAATACAGATACAAACAGTACTAGTCCTACTGGCAGATTTTTTCACTTAAAACAGGAAAAATGTTTCGTTATAAGTGAAACTAATGTGTTTTTATGTATATTTAAAATTTAATTACTTAAAAACTGCTGACACATGTTGATGAAAAGTTACTTTTATGTTAGTACATTTGAAATAAGACAAAACTGAGATATTTGCAGTAGAAATTAGGCAAAAGTACTTGGTAAGATTTTGGGGTTTTTTGCAGTGCATCAGTGCAAATAAAATATGATGTTAAATCTCAAGAGAATAATTCAAAATTATACTTAAGAATATTAAAGTTTTGCACAATATTTTATCATTCATCCCCAGAGGTCATCAAAAGTAATAAGCTAACATAAAAAGTGCAGATAAGAAATGAAAGGCATGGGAAAGAAGCTGTGTGGTGAATTGACACACAGCTGGTGTGTTTCAGAATCTATCAGGCCACTTTTGTGGCTAATTTTGATGTGTTTGCAAACTGTTTTCTGAAAATGTTTCACCACTGTGTTGGACAAACTGGTTGGACAAGCCCAGCCACATTCTCCAGCTCTAAACTCAGGGATAATAAATACACTGCTCAAAAAAATAAAGGGAACACTCAAATAACACATCCTAGATCTGAATGAATGAAATATTCTCATTGTTCTGTACAAAGTTGAATGTGCTGACAACAAAATCACACAAAAATCATCAATGGAAATCAAATTTATTAACCAATGGAGGCCTGGATTTGGAGCCACACACAAAATGAACGTGAAATGTTCCCTTTATTTTTTTGAGCAGTATATATTTAAGTGATAAAAAATGTTCCTGCTGATTGGTGGAGGTCAAACAGAAAAGTCAAAGATCTCGACTAACCAACACAGTTAAGCTCCAGTTCTTGAACTTGCCCTGTTGATGTTTCATATTGCTAGCCAGACATGCTATAAAAAGATTAAGAAACATAAATACACCTGCTGGGATCATTTGAAATCACACCCTGCGTCTCTCCTGTGTGTCTCTGGACGTCTCCCTTCTTTTCCTTCATCTTAACATTAACAGCTCAGCCTTTAGGCTGTTAGTCTTGCTCAATGTTTTAACCTGTTTATGAGGATTTTCTCCTTTCTGTCCTCTTAATAAGTTATCCACTTTGGTGAAGCATGTTAATATTTGCTAGCCAGTGACAGCTATATTGCGTTTTAGTGCATTTTTATATGTTTCCTGTCAAGCTGAAGCGTTATGTAACCCAAACTGCAGACTAAAAGCAAAGCTGTCATAGCTGTTTTGTTTTAGAAGTATTTAGACCTTCATAAAATGTTTTGCTTTTATCTGGAGCTGCATTCATCAAAGTTGCAATAACAGACGTTATTTACTTTCTCTTCTAGAAACCGAATAAATCTCACATACCTGAGAGTTCACCTCTTTCTCTCCTTGCCCTCAATCTCTTTAGCTTTGGCTGCTGCCTGAAGCTGTGCCACAGTGAAACTCAGAGCTGACAAGTTAAGTGTTGGGTCCTGGCAACACCAGCTGACTGCTGACCCAGATCGCCCCCAGGGTGGGAGAAAGAAATACACTCTGTAATGCACACACACTCACGTAGAAAGGAGCAATAAGAGTCATTTCTTTTGTGAAGGATGTGGTGCAGCTTCTGTGGAAGTGCCTCTCTAGAAAAGACGTCACGCTGAAGGCCTGGCCCCCTGACAACACAAATGTCACGCGGGGAATGACACCAGATTCAATTAGCCACAAGCAAAGCTATATGTAACCATGACTTTACTTGTGTGTGAGGTGAAGGGAAATGCACATGAGTATGCAAAGACACTCAGCTGTACAGTTTTTACTTATAGGCTGGAGAGGAGGAGGCAGAAAAATCTTCCACATCTTATATTCCAGGCATTATTGGAATCTAATGTGACACACCGACACAAAGTAGTGCATAATTGTGAAGTGGAAGGAGAATGATACAGATACAAATTGGAAGTCTGCCATGTTCTGTTAGCACTCAGTTGAACCATTCGTTTCTGCATTTAGAGTTGCAGGTGTTTTGGATCGTGGTTCCACCAAATTTGCATATCTAGCAACTGAAGTATTTCACCAAACTTCTGAGCAAAACAAGCTCAGGCTCTATCAGATCAGATTAGAACGTCTGTGAATAACAACTTTCAAATCTTATAACAGATGTTCAGTTTGGATTAAGTGCTGAACTTTGACTAGGCCCTTTTATCACATGAAAATGCTTGGGTCAGAAACTTTTACAATTCAATGAGTCGTCTTTTTCTCCCTGTTCTCCTAAACACTATTTGTTTAGAATTTACATTAACTAACCTAGTTGAGCTAAGTTAAGTTTTGCAAATATCTAGTGTGTAAATTTATCTCCACACCTGAGCTGCTGTTCCCTGCAGCTCCTCTAGAGTTACCATGGCTGCTGCTCAGGTGAATGCTGTCCACACTCAGCCTGTTAGCTCAGGAGTAATTTCATGTCTTGTTTGCAGTTGTCCCATCTTTGGAATATTATTTTATATTATTTTAACTCTGCTTTAACTTCTCCACACTTGACCTTTCTGCTGCAGTTCTTTATTTTTGTTATTCTGTTTTCTAATATTCTCCAACATCAAACTGTTCCTTTCCAATCACCTTCAAACAAAAACATTTGCAGTTCACAGTAAATAAGTTTGAAAGCTATTAAGTTGCCTCTGAAGATCTTTTTAAAATGTGTTAAATGTTTCTTACAATATAAGCGATGCATCAGATTCATAGAGCTGAAATTAAAGGATCAATTCCAGTTTTTTTTATCAGCTGCATTGGAGTCCAACCAATAAAACATCCTCTATGTTCTCCGGCTTTCAGCACATAACTGGCACCTCTAAAAAGGGAACCAGTCAAACAATCACCTATAAATAAAATCAGTTGACAACCTGTGCGCACCAAAAATGGTGAGCTTTGTTAACTTACTTTTCACTGACTAAGCTCTCTCCCCCGTGTGTTGGTAGCCAATAATGAATGAAAACAGCCGTCAACAAGGCCAGCTCATCGCGTAGGAGCAAAACAAACAAAAAAACATCTTCTCAGAGTCAACACACTACATCACTCAGCTATCCACACTTCCTTTCATTCTCATACTCACTGTTTCTCAAGGTTCATTAGGATTTTTTCCCAGTAAAAACACAGCGACAGAGTTTAACTTCTGATCTGATCAACCCCCGCAGCTCAGAGAGCCGATGCTTCTGCGACAGACAGCAGCTCGCTTTTCATTTTCAGAGATACAGTTTCTTATTTAAAATCACTTCTCTTTAAACTTAATGAGGCAGAAAACAAGTGTTGCATCTAAAAGCAGGAAAGGAAGGATCACCTTGTGTGGAATTATCCAATCAGAGCCGTGAGGACAGTACCTGTCATGCTGGGCAGGTTTCCAGAGCCGGATATATTTAAAGTCCTTTAAAAACCGGGTCTCTGCTCCAGAGTCTCTTTCAGGTTTCTTCTTGTCTGTTTTCTTCTCTCCTTCACCTCCGTCAGCTTGTTTTTCCTTTCCTGTTGTACTTCTGAGAATCCAGCCTCTTGCTGCCTGTTGCTCGGTGTTTGGTGTTCACTCCCCTAAGAGTCATTGATAGAGGCAGTGCAATCCCTCTCTAAGTCTCCTCCCTTGCTCTCTGACTCCCTCCCTCCGGCGGCCAGCATTACAGATCCAGGCCTGTCCTCTTTGCTACAGCAACCACTAAGCCCTTTCCACCCTCTTCTCATGTACCCTCTTATGATTATTCCTTCCTCACCTGTTTCTTTCAAGCATTTCACGACTCCACAATGGAGGAAACAGAAACCAAACGCAGCTAAATGTTTTTGTTTTCTTAGCAAAGCTCCATAGAGGTGAAACCTCCCTTCAAATATGTCAGGAATTTACAGATGAAAAAAAAAAAAAAAACTGTGTAAGTAAAGTTAGGCTGAGGAACAGACGGGTGTGCATGTGCTTCTGTTTTTCTCGTTTAGTCTAATTGGGAGAATTAAAAAGCAAACTGGCGCACACCCAAGCGATTGTGGTTCCTCTTTGGATATTTATCATGCGTGACATTACGGCTGAAAACGTAGCAGTTCCTTTTAAGATAAAACTGATCTGGGGTTTAGGAACAGAATCGCTGTAAAAGTCTGCCGACCTCAAGCACACAGTGGAGTTTTGTCTTTTTAGCTCTGAATTTTGGACAGAAAGTCAGAGTTGAGCTGAAAGGATTTGGAAATATCAGATTTGAGCTGAACTGATGTGGGAAACACATGAACACACCCACCTTGTGGACGATGTCTCTCAGATTTTTACAGTGGGTGAATATGCTCTGAGTGGAGGTGTATCTGCTGAGCTGGGATAACTGATATCTGGAAAGACAGATCATGACGTAAATCAGTTCAGACGGATTGGGAGTGAGAGGACACAAAGTATTACAAGCAAAAACATTCAGTCAGAATTAAAATGAGGGGAGAATCCCACTGAGGTAACTCTGTTAAATCGTTCAACCCACAAGCAACACATAGAGCTAAGTTATCTAAGTTAAATAAAACACGTTTCACAATGATGTACGCAGGACTTCCTCCTTACAAACCTGCTGAGCAAGCAGAAGAGGCCTCTGGCAGAGGTGATGAGCTCTATGACGTTCTTCAGAACGCCAACTGGCAGCTTGGTGGCGCTCCGTCCGTCGTAGCTGTTGTGGCGCCAGCCGCCCTGGATGGCCATCGGCAGGGAGTGGGCAACGACACGCAGCTTTTCCGTCAGACCGCGCAGGGTCTCTCCTCCCATGCCATAAGTCTGAAGACAACACACACAACAACACACACATGTAAGGACCGGGCAGGACATTCCACCCCCTGCTGTCACCAGCCCCTCCAGAAGAGGGTAGAGATTGTTTTTGAATCACATTTTCATATGCTGTGGTTTGTTTCTGGCCAAGTTCCATATGCTGAAAACAAATCTCTAACTTTCCCTCATTTCCTGTGTCTTTTCTGCTGTCTGGTTTGAATAAATCCACAGAAAGCTTAAGTATCAGAGTATTATTCCACTTTTCAGTCCAACAGACATTTTCATATTGCTGCTTTCATGCAACTGCGTACAACACATAAAACAAAAAACCTGTGAGAAAAGGAGTTAAGATGCTCCAAATGAATCCATCAATGTAAAGCAGGTTGGGACGTTTGTTGTCGTGGAAACAGTATAATTTCTGCATCCACTGACGACAACAAAGCAATGAAAACTTTTTAAAAATTACTGAAATAAATAATTTTAAAAATTTGTGCACATTTCTTTAACTTAAACAATAAGATTACATTTAAAACATTAATTTAATAAAAGATTTAAAACAGTAGAGTACAAATGTAGCCCTGGGAGAAATGAAGATCCCACTGCACTGAACCCACTAAAACCCTGCTGGTTCCACCGAATATTGATTTCTGAACTCTTCCTGAGTTAAAACATTAACATTGTTGTTTCTAGATGAATATGAACTTGCTTTCTTTGCATTATTTGAGCTCTGAAAGCAATGCATCTTTTTCATTATTTTGATTATTTCTCATTTTCTGCAAATAAATACAATTTGAATTTCAGAGACATGTTGTCAGTAGTTCATAGAATAAAAGAACAATGTTAATTTTACTCAAACATAAACCTATACAGATTAGAATCAGATAAACTGGTAATTTAAAGGTCTCTTAATTGTTTCCAGAGCTGAATAAATCATATTGAAATCTAAATTAATAACAGAAGTTAGTGTAAATCCTAATAATGTATATTTATGTTTACAGTTATGCCCAAAATGATTCATAACCCTGGTAGATTTAGATTTTAAAATATTTTTATTCAACCATGAAGTTTGTTTCTGATAGAAAATTAAAAATTAATGCTAGTCATGAAAAAGTTAACTCATCCGTTTAAATTAGCATTTTATGTTTTAAAATGGCATAAAAGAAATTATCTACAAAATTCTCAAAAATTACTTTCTTGGTATTTGAATAATCAAACCGCTTCTTTAACTGTCGGTCAACAGTTTGCATGTATCCACTGATATTTTGATGGTTATCTTTGGTAACGGACTTGTGAAAGGAAGGCCTCATTTCCATCACCTTAATCTTTATCTCCCTCCACAGATTCTGGATCAGATCGTGGTGGGACTCCACCGCCTCTTAGATGTTCATATTTCTTCCAGAAAGATGTTTGTGATAACAATGGTGGTGTTGATAAGTATTCTGTTGCTCCCAGCTAAAGCAAGCTGGCGACAGATCACAGGCCCGTCACAAGGCAGCACACAGGACAAACAATAACACATGCACACACTCGAACCTGCAGGCACTTTAGAGAGCCCAGTTAACCTAACAATCATGTTTTCAAACTGTGGGAGGAAGTCAGAGTACCAGGAGAGAATCCTTGCATGGACAGGAAGACCATGCAGAAAAACCCCAGGCACAGATCAGAACCCAGGACTGATTTATATCTAGTCAAATATAATTCAAATAAAGCCACAGACTTCATATTATCCCTGCTATCAAATCAAAGTCTTTCAGAAAGACAACAGCCTTTATTCATTTGTCTGTCGCTCCAGTTTTCTGCATCCCATCATGAAACACAGCAGCTGCTGAAACAGAGTGTGTGATTGTTACAGGCCACTCGTCTCGGGGTCAAGTGCTTCGTACTGGTCAGGCTTTGTTAGTCCACATCATCCAGCCACCAGGACAAGCTTGTCAACAAGTGGCCATGAATCTTTTATGGAGCTCTTAATTATGTAGCTGTGCACTTGAAAGTGTTTCTGTCTGCGCCATGTGAGCATCTGATGGGGGGGTTTTATGAATGAGCGCAGTGTTAAGATCTTCATGGAGCATCATGACAGACACAAGCACCCACACACAAGGTCTGTCTGAGGAGAAAAAAGGAATTACTAGAGGAGCAGCTTTCCTCATTCACAGACTCCAGGCTTACAGGTTCAATCTGTATCACGGTTAATTAAAGAACTCAGCAACAAGGAGTTTAAGCCATCTTAGTCTGAGGTTTACAGGCTGTTACGTCACCAGAGCTGCTGAATCAGAGGTGATACTGAAGCAAAGATTATTCTGGAAGTCTCCACACAAAACAGCTCAAAGACTAGAGATACACTGATCCAATATTAATACCTGTATCTAAAAAGAGTAGATTGGGTATCGATGACAATACAACCGATCCTTGAGAGTAGATCTATTCATTCAGTTCTGTGCTTTGTGCTCTGAACGACATGAAGCTTTATTATTTATTTTAAATTATATTTAGGATTCCTAATTGCACTTTCTGAGCCATTTGAAAGAAGATTTGTTGCAGTTTATTTTTTTACATGTTTGACTAAGATCTATTGTTTTGTCCATTTCTTCATTATTTATTTACATTGACTGTTAAACTCCTGATTGCACTGACTGGACAAATTATAGTTTCTACATGTTGTGAAGCTATTGGTGTGTTTAAATGAGCTGTTCTGGTGCAGCACTGTCAGATAAATGTGTAAATCAGTTTAATTATGTCTCTGTTAAAAAAAAAAGAAATGTTTTAAGTCAATTCAGCACTTTCTGTGTCGGCCGATACCAACACTCAGACATCTGTATCCGTATACAAAGTGGAAAAAGTGAATCGGTGCTTCCCTAATGTAGATTCATTAAGTACATATAGTTCACACTGACAAAAAACACCTAAACCTCAGAGAGAATCTAAGTATTGTCGAGTAGAGCATCGTCAAGAGGAGGATGCGAGACATCAGAGTCAACAGTGCAGAGGAGATGAAGTTTTTTAAAGCACGATGGGTTTCTTGAACACTTCCTCAGAGCCACACGCTGATCAGCTCCAGGCCAAGCTGCACTGATGCAGTAAATCATGCAAAAGGCGCCAAAAACATTCCCAAATATTGTCCAGGACACAGCAGTTCTCTGGATATGACTCAGCATGAGTGCTTATCTGATGTTGACATGAATAATACAGTTAATGTTTTTACTACAAAACGCTTGGAAAGCTGGAGCTGGAATGTAAGATCGAAGTACTAAGAAATCACACTGAGTAAAAACATCACATATTTCACTAAGGCAAGGCCAAGATGTCAGGAAGTTCTGTGGTTCTGGGTGTGCTGGCCAGATTTCTAAGAGATAATCCTACAGTTCCTGGTACGACTGTGTAAACAACAGCAGGATCTGAAAACATTACAGAGGTGGAAATCAGAAAGCTGTCATATCACAAAATATACAACACCCTCAACAAACATGGATATGACCACTCAGGTAATATCCTGCTGCTCACTTCACAACACTTCCACAACACACACAGGAGACAGACCTGGAGACAGATGATGCTGCTGCAGGCATGCGCTGTAAACACACACATACACACACACACAGGTGTGTGTTCTCACTCACCAAGGAGCAGAGTTTCTCCACAGCCTCCAGAATGAGCTCCTGGTGTCCGATCTTCTGAACTCCCAGCACCTCCAGATCCTGGGACGTCAACTGAAGCAGGTCCAGACCTGACAGGTGCCACTCCGACACCTGGTACTGATCAGTGGGAGCATCCAGACCTGGAAGTCATGGAAGCTTTTTAGTTTTTACTACAAACAGGTCCGGAGCATAAATGGAAATTCTCCAGTGTCAGGAAATCTGAAGCATGTACCAGCTTGAAAAATGCCTCTCGCTCTGGAGCATGTACCGAGGTTAGGACTGAAAAAGTCACATTGAAAGGAAATCTGGGTTTTCACATGCAATATGTGAAATGAACAGCAAAAAGTAAATGCAAAATCACAAAGTACTTAAAAAAATTCATTAACTTGACTTGAGTTTTGATTTACGACAGTGTAACATTATTAAAAATGTTTAAAGTTTAAATAAAGTCATTTAAGCTGAATTTAAATGAACTCAGTTGTATTTTTTTACACCACATAGGTGTACAAAAATACATATTTTTACGCCAATATGTATTGAAACCAATGTCTTTCAATACATATTGGTGTTTGAATTTATTTATTGAATATTCCTGTTCATACTCATATCGCACTCCTAACTACTGGAATCCCCCAGGGGTTCATCCAGGGTCCACTTTGTTTTCTGTTGGCATATACAGCTCAAGTTAAAAAGAAAAAGATCAGATGTCACTTAGTTCTCTCAAACTAACTAAATCAAAAACTGATGTAATATTCATGTGCATATTTGTCAGTAGCTTTTTCTTGTTCTTTGCAACTGGTTGAAAATGCAGCATCATGGTGTCTGATAGGTACATGTGATCATTACCACATCCTGCCGGTTTTAGCTTCTTCTCCGGCTCCCTTTCCATTTTAAAATGATTTTCAAGACCTTACAGTTTTATTAATGTGTTAAATGAGCAGGGAGCTCCTGATTCTGCACCCCACAGGGAGGCCAGTAAGGTGAGGTGAGCAGATGCTCCTGGATGAGCAAATTAAAATAGAGAACTGACTGGACTTTCACTGGACTCTGGGGCATCCGGCCCAAACACATCAGAACCTCTGCAACATTCAACAATCATTTTCTGTCATTTAAACCAAATTGTGCTGTGACTTTTTGACTGACTGTGTTGAAGTCAGTCAGTGTTGAAGTTTATTGTGTTTCTTTGTTTTAAGAAGAAGAAAGGGCTGAGCCAAAAAGCAAAGTTCTTTATCAACCAATCTGTGTTTAGAAACTCAGGATGCCCCGTTTGTGAGGATTTCTGAACAAATCCCACCAGTAATCTCTTAATTTTACCAGCATGTTTCCTCTGACTGGGAGTAATAACAGCATCTGTTTAGGGAGGTAAAGCTTAGGATGATGGGATGTTGGGCTTCCAACCGCAAACAGTTGGAGTTCATCTCAGAAGGTGAATTGTCAAAATACCAGCAGAGGAGCGCAGAAAGCTGTTATTACAGAAATTATTTTCAAATTCCCATTTTCGCTCAAATTGAAGTAAAAACAAAATGTTTTTTTTTAAATAAATGAATATGGCTGACTCATTTATTTTGAAAGTGCTCAGAAAAACTTTTATTACGAACACAGAAGTTGTCTACAAAGTAGCATAGAGAAGTAGAGGACTCCGCTGTGTTGTAACTGTGTTGGAAAGCATTAATCCAAGCTGAGCTTTGTGGTTAAATCTCTTCTCTTTCATTTTTTCCCCTTTTTTCTTTTGCAGAACTTTGCTTCGTTTCCAACAAAATAAGCAGGGAAACAACAGAAGGCCATTGTTTACCCGGTTGAAGCGTTTAGCTGTTGACACTGATCAGAGCTGCACTGTTGTGGCTTCTCTCTCTCACTTCCTCATTCCACCTCCACCTTTCACTTCCAATAGGATTTGCGTGCTGCTTCTATTTTCGACCTAACCGCCCCGATCCAAAGTACCTGCGAGGGGATCAAGTGTTTAAAAAGAAGAAGCGGGTATGTCCCTCACCTTGGAGCCACTTGGTGACTCTCTCCTCGCTCCACGCAGCGATAGGCTCCATGCTCGGAGTCCTGCTCCAGTCGCTCGTTCAGCTCCAGGCGGTCCTGGCCGACTTCTACCTCTCCGGACTGCTGGAGGAAGGAAAACTTGATCCTGGTTTGGAATCGGATGATGACGACTGGCACTCCTTTTCTCAGGTAACAGGTAGAGTTCCCCCCTCTAGTGTCAGCCAATAGTACGGAGCTGTCCAGCCCCGCCGGGCGCAGGACCCCTCCCTCCGGTACCCATCACCCCCGCCTACCTGCACAACTTCATAACTGGCTTCTTAATCACGCTGCGTTCAGGCTGAGGAATATGCGTGAGAAAGACCGGCGCAGATTTGCGGCCTGCCAGCAGATGACGCACAACAGCAGCACCTGAGCTGCGGAATTATGGCTAAAAAAAAAAAAGTTTAACCCTGTTTCCATATTGATTCATTAAAAACTACCCCATTTAAAAAAAACTTTTTCCATAAATTAGTTAAAATGTTCTAAAGGATGGTTACATATTAACAGAGTTATTATTATTTCATGTGTTTAGTTCAGTTAATTTTTAGAATTATGGTTTACACATGAATGAAAACCTAAAATTCAATTTGTTAAAATAGAATTTAAGACCAGAACAATAATTTTAAATACAGAAATGTTATTACCTACTGAACTGTATTGTCTATGTGCTGTACTGCGTATTCATCAGTGCAGCTTGGCATGAAGGAGATCAGCCTGTGGTGCTGCTGATATGTTGAGGAAGTTTTAATACTGACGTTCACATGTGTTGTTGTTTCTGGTGTCTTTCCATTCAATTCCCCACAGAGCTCTTGAAATTCTTGACAATCCCTGAAGGACTATGGTTGTCTTTGTGGATTGTTAATTTTTATTCTATCAGGCTTTTTTCTTCCACTTAACTTTCCATCAGTAAGCTTCGATTCAGCTGTTGAGAAGCCGCCAGTTTTTTTGGTTACACTGCAGTTATCCGTGTTTCTTGTGCACCTTTTCTCTACTTCTCCACTTTTTCCCACACAACTTTCCATGTATATTAAAGCACTCTTTTTTCACTTAATTAGCGGTGGCATTTTGTGGCGTACCTTTTTGTGGAAGACGTAAGGAACGGTTTTGGTGGGCAACTGTCAAGTCAGGAATCTTCTCCATGAATGCCGCAACATAACATTTCTGTGTTAGAAGTATTATAAAATGTGATTTTTTAAAACAATCGGTTGTACATCTTAACAGAGACAAATGCTTGAAACACATCATAATATGTAATGATGTTAAATCTCATTAATTTAAATAATGAAATAAATAAAACTTTTAATGATGCTGTCAGGTACATTTTGCCAGTTTTTCCTCTTTTGTCTCAAATGTTGCAGCAGATTCATTACTGAGATACGTCTGTGCTGCTGCTTTCTAATGCAGGAACTTTGTTCAATGTGAATCCTCAGCACATTGTGACTCACAGAGTGAAATTCTCTATTCAAATAATCACAAGAATTTGTTGGGAAAAGAAAAGCTAAAAGTACCAGCCAACCTAATCCTCTTATCCAACCAGTCTGCTCTCCTGAGAAATATCCAGAAACGTTGCTAAATTCACTCTTTGAACTGTGCTGACGTCTGGGATCCTACGATGACACAACTTTGCCCAAAGTTTATGAATATTTCATTCTTGACTCAACATCTTTTCACTGCTTAAGAAAAGTTTTCAATGTCATCATCAAAGCAGCATCTTACTTGTTAATATTGTGAAGGTTACCATAAAACTCCACATTTTAATACATGAACTCTGCAGGTATCTATTCTAATGTGAAAAACTAAAACTTGGTTCAGTCTCTGATTTTAAAATATCCTGTCTGCATAATAAACTTTAACTAAGGTTTTGTCTTATTTTATTTATCTTCATGTTCCTTAAGTTTACATAAGTTTAAATTGATAATTTTCCGACTTTTCTTAGCTGAGTTATAATCCAGTTTTATTATTTTATTTTAATCTGTGCTTGTATTTAACATTTTGCTTATAATTTCTGTTGAGCCATCTGTACTGCTGAATGATTTAATAATAATAATAATAATAATAATAATAATAATAATAATAATAATAATAATAATAATAATAATAATAATAATTGTTATTATTATGCATACGTGTCTTTCTTTTAATTCTTGCATGTTCGATCATATGAATTTAATCTTTTCAGAATGACAGCTTGTTTTTGCTCAGGATGTTTCATTATTTTTTCATTGTATTCATTCATTTTGCATTCATTTATTTAAAAGTAAACATGAATTGACTGATTGATTGATTGATTGATTTTACATCTGTTGGAATCTTAAAAAGTTATGTAATGAATCTAAATGCTGTTTTCTGACACCTTCAAACTGCCAGCTGCTCTGTTCCTGAGCTTTTTGGTTTCAGGGCCATAAAGGGGATTTAGTGAATATGCTGCCTTATAGTCATGTGATAAGTTTCACAGCCGTGTCTCACCAAGTTTTCAGTGCACAGTTTCTCTTACGGCAGTAAAGGGCATGGCCTGATCAAAAAGCCGTATTCATCAAAGTGCTGCCCTCAGATATCTGGCACCCCCTGCTGTTGTTGCTTTTGAACAAAGCTGAAGAGGCCTGGTCAGGGCAGAAGCCATATTTAAACATCAGTAAGTGACACATTGTGGTTTTGTGCTACAATAAACAAAGTGTGCGATAAATGAGTGAAGAGATGAGTGAGTTTCCAGTACTGACTTGCTGACAGCTAGCATTTAGCTTCTCCACTCCTGTACTGGATAATCAGTAACCGGAGAATCTGCTACTGCTGTTTGTCTGTGCAGAGTTGAGTTTGTATCACAGGTGCTTTCAAAGACAATACTCCTGGCTTCCTGTTCTTTTTCTCTCTTTTTTTTTTTGCCCAACCCAAATACCCGAGGAACACCGTCAAGCCTCGACATGCTGTTCTTGCTAGACTGTGCTCTCTGAGTCAGATGAACTTGTTACTTCTTGTTCTCTTTCTACAAAAGATCTGGTCGTGATGACAAATACACACACACACCCACACACACACACACAAAAACACTGGAAAACTTTATTTTCAGTGTAGAAATATTATTTCTTTACCAGCTTTTGCTCCTCTTTATTTTTATGTGAAAGTGTAAGCCCACCATCTCGATGCATCTACAACCTCTTTGTCCTATTAGCACTTTCTGTGTGAGCGATGATTGCAAAGAAACTGCTTGCATCTGAAGTCTTAAAGGCAAAGAGCCAGGCTTTTTATAATTACATTACCTCCTTCTGTCGTCATTCAGCACAGATTGGTTAATTACTGTTCCTTCAGTATTGCAGATAATTGGTTTCTTTCACTCTTTTGCACTTGTCGTCTCTCAGCTCTGATAAGCAGCAGTTATCACCACCAGTCTAAAAGTCCTTCAGCTGAAATCTGGCACGCCCTGTGCGGCTCATTTCAAGCTGAAATAAGCCATCCACCCCTCCCCCACATTAATGCCTGCTTTATCATAGCAGGTTGAAGAGAGGCTGAAGAGGAGCACAACTGAAATAAGTTCTGTTTGGATCATCTGCACTGTTGAGTAGCTACAAATTAGTAATTAAAAATGTTGAATCTACAAATTACAACCTTGATGAGAGTAAAGATATTGAAATGAAAGCTGACTGAATGAAATATTAAGTGGATATGGATTCTTCTCTGCAAAATGCAACATCATTCTTAAGTCTTTTCCTGGATCCTCAATTGGATTTAGGTCAGGACTTTAACTAGACCATTCTGAAATATTATGCATTAATCCAAACCCTTCCATAATCACTCTGGTTGTTTCCTAAGAGCACATGTGCCAAACTCAAGGTCCAGGGTTCAAATCTGACCCGCCATATCTTATGTGACCCTCCAGACTCTACACTGTAAATAAAAGAAAAAAAATCTCTAATTTATTGTAAAATACCATGGCATGGCATCTGTGGTTGCCATAATTTTACCATGTAAATACAGTAAAATTCATATAAATACAGTAATATTCTGGGACCACAGCTGCCGGTATTTTATTGTAAATTAGAGACGTTTGCTTTTACAGTGTAGAGAGACTCTATGCTCTGGTCAAACCTTCAGGTAGTTTTTATCTGTATACTTCTAAATTACATTAATGTGAAAAAAGATTGATGTTATTTAACTTTGGTAAGGACTCAACAAATGCAGAGGCACCTTTTAAAGTCATATTTTAACATTTTAATATGTTGTTTTGTCAACACGTTTTGCCACAACATTCAGGACGGTCATGTGGCCCAAATTAAAAATCAGTTTGACACCCCAGGCTTAGGGTCGATGTCCAGCTGGAACATGAACCTCCAGCACAGTTTCAAGTCTTTTGAAGCTTCTTAAAGGTTTTCTTCTAGGATTGTCCTGCGTTTGGTTTAAGTTTGGCCACCTTCCCAGGCCCCCCACAGCTTGATGCTGAAACCAGCATGTCATGTTGTAGCAACTCCAGATAATAGAGCTAAGGTGCTTGAATAAAAACTTCTCTTATCTTTTCTTTTTTCTTTCCTTTTGCTTTCTTTTTTGTTTCTTTTCTTCTCTTTTCTCTTCTTTTCTTCTCTTCCGACAAGCAAAGTACCTTGAATAACTGAAATCTGTTGATGAGGATCCAATTTCTGACATCCTGTTTCAAATCTGACAGCCACTCCACAACTGGAGTGTGCATGTATTTGCATTTTAATGGCACTTTTTACATCAATACAGGGAGCTCCATGATTCATTGTTTCCCCCTGAGCTCCCTCAACATCACTCACCCTCTTCTCTTCATCTGCCGGTTTCAGTTCAACTGAAATAAAACGAGGTTAATCAACAGAGTCATTTTCACGTCAGTTCATCTGATTTGTGAGCTCAGGGAACAAGCCGGCCATCCGATTCTCCACGGCTCCATTAAATTTCACATCCCACATTTAGACAGGGAACATGTTTCAGTTCCATGGTGACAAATATCAGGGAGGGATCCAGCTTTGTTGCATGCGCATGTTAAGACAGACTGACGCATGTTTTTCCTGGATTATTCATGCAGCTGCAGGTAGAGTTTGGGGATCCCCGGAGTGGGTGGAAGCTGGACATCTCTGAGTCAGAAATGCCTTTTCAGTTGGTGACCTGAAGTGCAAACTGAAACTTGGATCTTCATTCAGGTTGTTGGTTTGATTTTAACTTCCTCCTGTCACAGGCACTTAACCCCCAGTTGGTTACCATTCTGAGTTTGGTCTATAAATGTAACCACATTTGTAAATGTGATTGAATATACCTGGGAAAGCTGTATATACTGGTACTGTTGTAAACATTGTAATGATCTTTCTGACCTCCAATTTGGGAAAGTCTACATATGAAGCTTGTTTGATTAGACATTTTTGAGTTTATTTGGATTATTATCCTTTCATGGATTCCATGAACTCCTATGTTTGTAGTGTCCGCTAGAGAAAAGGCCCACAGCATCACAGATCCTACTTTGCAAGGGTGGCAAGATAAATTTGAGCGTTTTTTCAGCAAGAACAATTATTTCCTAACTTTGAACTTTTTTCCTTATTGAATAAATTTACTCAAACTTAAAGTTGGATTTTTCAAAACATTTTTATTGGCATATCATATTGTATTCCAGTGAAGGATGATTTTTTTTATTTTTTATTTTCTGCTTAGACAGATCTTTATTGGGGGTGCTGCTAGGAGTCATAAACATTTAATATCAGTCTGCTTATATTCTCCATGTGGATGACAGAGGAGAAAACAGCGATTGTCCTGAATAATGGAGATAGAAAAGAGACGGTGGAGAGGATGAGGGATGGGAGAGAGCTGTGGACAACAGTTAGTGGTGTGGCTGCACTAAATAAAAAACACATTACATTTGGAGGTGCCTTCAAAGCTCCTTGCAGCTGATAACCCATCATGGAGAAAAAAAACTGACGGCTGAAAAATTATGTTTAGGATTGATGTGGCTTTGCGAATCACAGTTATCTGAACATGATGTGTTGGGAAGAAAGAACGGTGATCAAACCTTCTGTCCATGTCATCGTTACACGGCTCTGTTCCAGAGATCACAGAATTACATGTTGTCTTTTTGTCAGTTGCATTTTTCCCCGGTCCTCCGTTGTGTGGGCATTCAGGCATGAATGAACGTGGCATTCAGTCTCCGAAGTGTAAAAATAAGGTTTCGTAGCAGCTTGGATGCAAAGTCCAAAACCCACAGCAAACGCTGCTGTTACATAATAAAGAAAGTGTTTCCCACCTCCTCCAGTGTAGACAGTGAGTGTGATTCACCTGCCACAGCAATGTCAGACAGGAATCAGTGGCTTGGCATTAATACACAGGCTCAGTGAAAACAGCAGCAACAGTTTGCATTTACACCTTCAGCTCATTTAGATGCCAATCATCACACATTATATTACTCCAATTCATGTTTCCCTTCTGTGCCTGGAAAACCGTTTTCATCTGAATCTGAATCAAAAATTCATCAGAGCGACAAAGCAAGGCAGCTGAATGGCCTTCAGTTGCCAATAGTAACCAAAGATGGCCAGGAGCAGAATCCACTTGGTGGTGAATGAAGCGGGGAAGTGATGAAGGTGGATGGGACGCATTATGTCAGCGGAGATTACAAGGACTTCCACGAGAGCTGTTGTCAATGAAAAGAGCAGGGCCGGATCAGAACAGCACCGATCACGACCCACTTCTCTTAACTTCCTTTACATCACAGTTATTGTGTAATCAAGAATGTTATATAATTTTTGCAACCTCGTGGAGCATTTTTGGAGATGGGAGTCTAAAGGCATTGTGCACTAAATATATCTGTGCAAAAACCAAAAATACAGTTTGGGGCGAAGCAGCAGCTCATGAGAAAAGTCAGTTTCACTCAGTGCTGCTCTGAGATCACAAAAGATATTTCAGCTTTTTTTGGCTTCTCTAAACCTTTTACATGATTATTGTGTGTTCTCTGTGCAGGTGTGTCACAAAAAATAAGAGAAGAAGCTCATACTGGACACAGTGACACATTGTATTTTATTCGTAGTGCAGCAAGACGTTTCTGATATTTTTCTGTGGTTCAGGAGTGACTTAAACCAGTCGAATCTCTCATCCTGGTATCTGCAGGACCTCAGCTGGGGTTAAATAAGTTTTTCTTGTGTGTTGATATATTTTTTAGTAGTTCATCCTTAAATGATACAACAATAAAAAATGGTAGGGTGTAAAAATTGATTGTTCATTTACATTTTAAACATCAATGATCTCCGGCTTCCTTTCACACCATTTTTACTCATTATCACTCAAGCATAGATTACAGTTTTACTCATGGCCTGTTTATAAATCTACTGGTCTAATGGCTGATTCATTTGCAAGTATCTTGGGCTGGCTGTTGCTTTGCATCACAAAGCACTCAACGCCCGTTGTTTGTGCACATTTTTCAACTCCACGTTTTTCCTTCCACTAAGCTTTCAGTTAATGATTGGATACAGCGTACTTTGAGCAGACAGCTTGATTTGTCTTTTATGGTATACCCTCCTAACAAATGGTGTCAAAGACTATCTATAAAATCAGCAGAGTTGAACGTGATGTGATGTGAAGAATAATTTATTTTTATTGGTCTTGTTTAATATATTTTCGGGCTTTTATTAAATGTAATACACAGTCATCAAATAAAAGCTTTGAATTTACGAGTTTCACTTGAACTGAGTGGAATTAATGAGGGATAAAACAAATTTTCCAATTTTTTGACATGCTTCGGTAAATAAATTGACTTAATGGACTCAGCAACATGAAGCCTGAGCGGCAGCAGGCCGTTCATTAGCGGCATTCTCCACCCTGCATTACGTATTTACAGTTCTTCTCGCTACCAGCGGGTGGCGCTGACGGGCCGGTGCGGAACGGGCGCAAGAAATGGGGGGTTGGATCTGCCAATGACAGCTCGAGTTGGGAGAGTGTTCGTACTACGGGGCCATACACACGGAGGTCTGCGAGCGCTCCGCGTCCTGCCGGGAAGCCTTCCTTCCTTTCCTGACCGGGAGAAAGCACACGAGGAGGACGCAAAGATCCGAGACGACGTCGACTGCGGAGACGCCAGAGACAGACAGAGAGAGAGGCTGACAGTGATTCCTCGGTGTGACATTAGGCTCAGTGCGCCGCGCTGGTAATTAAAGGAGCCTGGATTAGCCCCCTGCTCGCTGCTGCGCTCCGCTCCTCTCCTGCAACGCCTCAGCTCCCCCGACGCGCTCGCCTGGAAGGAAAAACTGTTTGCGCTCCCAACAAAGCAGCTAAGCAGACCAACAGGCTCCAAAATTAGATCACATCTGGGGGATAGTGTTAGGAAAGCTACTGGCTGCAGCGCGTCCTCCCCTCTCCTCTGAGCGGAGAACAAAGTGCTGTTAAATCTGCGCTCTGCTGGGACTTGGGACCTGAACCAGGAGGTTCTGGAACTTGCACTTGACAAGAGCGACACGGACAACTCCGAGGAGAGCACAGCCACACTCCAGCAGCTCAGGGGAAACTAAGAGTAAAGAATCAAATTCCTGCCAAAATGCCTCTTGCACAAATCGCGGAGCCATGGCCCACAATGGAGCTGGTGCAGCTGGATACAGAGGTAAGGAAATGTGAAATTAATGGTTTATTTTGCACATGTGTGGCTAGTTTTAGTCCAAATCACGTGGCTCCGTTTAAAGAAAATTAGCTCATTTCATTCAGTCTAAAAAGTGGTCTCGGTGTTGAGTGAAGTTGCGCCCTTTTGCTGCTCAGCTGTGAATGAAAGTTGAAATAAACCGGATGAGGTTAAGCTGAGTGAAGCTGACATAAAAGTTTTACAAATATCCTGCCTGCTTTTATGAAGGGACGCGTTTCTTGGTCATATTATTCATCTCAGGAGCAAATTTAAGCCTCCAGCTCTCAACCAGCGACATGGCTCATTGGAATGAGTCTGTGGAGAGATTCTCCACCTCAGGAAAAAAAAAAAAAATCTATATTTCTAATCTCATGTAGGTTCCTGGTCGGTTTCTAGGACTTTCGGTATGAATTCAAACACACACACACACACACACACAAACATAAAAACTTAGGTTTTTATGTGTGCTCATGTTAACATTTATGTACAGATCAGGCATATTATTATGACTTCTTGCCCTAATTATGTGTTGATCTGCCAATCAGCATTCACCCATGGTTTCCATGTGAAGCTGCGGTATTTTGTATTGATGGCAGCTTAGTTTTAGTTTAGTTTCTACGTTTTGATCAATAGAATTACTGTAAATTAAGGCCATATTGTATTATAATCTCAGAGAAATGCTTGTTTATGGCCTCCTCAATCTTCAATGAAACTTATTTCTTTATAACTTGATAAAAATATTATGTGTGAAGTTTCTTTTTGCAATAAAGAAACATTTACTTTTGCTGTTTTACATAACTTTAGACTAAGTTACATTATATTTTTCTGGCTTACTCTCCCTTTGCGATGGCTAAAATGAAATTAGAGCTGAAACAATTAATCAGATTATTTTGATAAATTATTGAAATAATTGTCAACTCATTTAGTAAATTAATAAACATTAACTGGAGTATACAGATTCTGAAACATGCTACTTGTTGAAAGAACACAATCGGAGCAAAACTGTACAAAAATATATGTATTTTGCATTTAAAAACCCTCCTTTGTCTGTTAATATGTTTTACCCAGAACTCAAGTGGTGTTTTTGGCTTCACGTGGTTCCAATTATTTTGAAGCAGCTCATCTGTTGACCCGGATCAGTCTGGTCATCTTGTGCATCACTTAGCCTTGAGTTTATCAGAGTTCCTTCCTTTGACTTGACCATTTCAAATAGACATTGACCTCTGCTGACCGGGTTGTTCTGACCCAGTCATCACAATCTGGCCGTCGTTAAACTCACTCAAACCATTACGCCTGCCCTTTTTCCTGCTTCTGACAGGTCAACTCTTCACTTACTCCCCACTTACTAACAGGGACCATTATGGATATTGTCAGTATACCTGTCCATGGTCATAATGTTATGCCTGATTGGTGTAGCTGATGCTGAGGCTGCAGAGTGAATTGTGACTTAAATGTTGTCAAACTGAATGTGAAAATGTGGGATTTTTACATAAATTTAGCATTTAGGCTGGGATTTGCTGTAACCTGAGTTTTCCAACTTATTGATCATTAAGATTTTTTATTTGCTGACAGATTACAAAATCTGGAGAATAAGCTGGAGAAAGTCACAATGACAATATGTCTAGTTCTAAATAAAAATGCTGAAGTCTGTAGAGTTGATGTTTTTCTGCTTTTGGGTGATTGTAACTATAGACCCCATATGGTGCATAGTTTACCCAAATACTGGCACAAAATGCTTTCATTAACTGGAATTCAAAAGATAAATAATATATATACATATTCATATGGTTTTAGGAGAAAAACATCAAACAGTCTATTTGGCCGAAGCACAACAGAACATGGAATGAAAGCCAAACTTTTAATGAAATTTGCCGTTCTTTTAATTGCAGCAGAGAAAAGTCTGCAAGAGACGTATAGAAGTTTAGAAAGACTTTCCTTTTCAGACAGAAACAATCTTCTGTCAGGCTTTTTAAAGCATCAGGTCCTTCTCCCACCTGTTGCAGCCAGTCAACATTTTAGCTCAGATTGTACGTTTTTATTTCACATTTATGGGTAAATATTGCAACATCTTCTATTTGTGATCATACGGCAATAATTTTACATCAGCCCAGGTATGACTATTGCTTTCAGGTGGCAGAGTATAGGAGGTTGAATCAGCTCTATTCAGGATTTTTCACTTAACTTTGGGAAAGATTATGGTTGCTATAGATGTTAGAGGGCCTATCAGCGCAATTCAAGCAGGAACCGCCTAACTGTTGCTCGCGTTTATCAGAGGTAATTTGTGGGAATATGTTAATTCAGAGCAGATGTAGCTGAGCAATCAATAATTGGGCTGTGGGCAAATCTATTTGTGTGTGATTTCTCCTGCTCGCTTTGCCCCAGAATGAAGCACAAAAGGTAATTTAGCTAATTTCCATTTGTGAAACCTGTTTGGCTTCCAAGCAAAACCACTCACACTGTTCATAATCAGGAGAAAAAAGCCTCCTCATCTGCTATCAGATACTCAACAACTTTCTGTGCTTGTGTCCAGGGTTCTTGCAGATAATTGTGCAACCATGTGCTAATTGTGCACATGGTTGGTTTTGTCCTCCGTCATCTTCTTGCCAATTAATCCAAAAGTGCATCCCTGCTAGTCCCATCTGTCCATATGAGTAGTTGGGCTCCCCAACATGTTCCCTGGCATGGCCTGCAGTCTCATTTCTCCTTGGTCTTCTCTGTCAGTCTGAGCCCTTGGCTGTCTCTTGCTGCCATCAGGAACCAGAACGTGCAGCTGGCTGGTAGGCTGGAGATGGAGATAAATGGCAAACACTCCATGCTGCCAGGCACTGATTTGTTTCATCAAATTAATTACAGACGCTGAAAACCGCGAAGCAAACGCTTTATGTTGGAGAAACGGCATCTTATTCATGCATGTGTTTAATGTAAACATGCAGTCATTTCAACAAGAACTGCACAAATATGGATCAGTGAGTCGTAATTATTGGACCCAGGCGAAGGCATGGTATTTTCACAGCATTGAACTTAGCATTCTTCACAGGCTCTCCAATACCATCTGCTCTGCTGCCACATGCTACTCACAAAACTCACATGCTGCACAACTCTAAATAGATGGTACGATCTCCGGATGGCACAGTTTCTAAATAACTGAATGCTCTGTCTTGCTGCATGAAATTCTCATTCATCAGTCAATCATTTCTTCAGAAAAGTGCAACCATCTGTATATTATTAGCATATTTTGAACTCATCAGCTTGTTTTGGGTAATTTATGAGTTTGTTGTGAGTCGAGCTCCATTCATGAGTCATTCTGATCTCCTGATTGAGAACATTGTTCAACACCAAGTCCAGACTGGTTCATTAGCTGCAGCAGACACACTGCTGCTTCACCTCACTGGCAGGCAAATCCAACGAGTCAGAGGGCCACTGGTCACCTTCACACTCCTACCTGCTCATCAAAACCTTAATGCAAAAGATTCACATGGATGACGAAGCAATCAGCCCATTCACAAAGAGAGCCTGAAGAGCATCATGAATAATCATGCTGTGCATCACAATAACAGAGCCGACTGCACCACTCATTCTTTGCTTGTTGTCTGCAAAGTCTAGTTTCTGGGTTGAAACTTATTTTCTACTGACCTAACAACACCCAGGTATCCTGCATGCTCAATTTTTGCATTTCTCCTGAGTTTAAGACAATGAGTTTTGTATTTTCAGCATTAAATTGATATTATAGCACACTTACTTACTGACTTTAAGCAGTTGCAGTCATGTGGTGATGCAGACATTTAGAGTTGTCATCAGTTTAATTTAATTCAATTCAAACACACTTCGTTAATCCCAAAGGGAAATTAAATATTGTTCCAGCTCATTAATTCAGATTTTTCAAAGAGTTATTGAAGATGGTGGCTGTTGGCAGGAAACGCCTCCAGTAGCGGTCTGTATTACAGCGAATCTGAAGAAGCCTCTGACTGAAGATACTCTGTTTTCTCACTCATATCAGCATACATATGGTAATAAATGTCGTCCTCCGTATTCTGAGGTAAATTCATCATGTAGGCGTTAAATAAAAGTGTTTCAAGAATGGAGCCTTGAGGAACTCCATATGTCCATTTAGTGCTGCTAAATGACAGAGCAGATTCATCATCTATGTGGTAAGATCTGAACAATTGGGGTACCACACAGTTCCACCCACTTTTCCAGTCTATCTATTCGCATGTTGTGGGATTTACATCTTTTAGAGCTTTTGCCTGGTAAAGGAGCATCAGTTTGTATTTCTAGATTGTTGATTTTTTTTGTGGGGGCACAGATTTGTTGATGCTGTAGAGCAATAGTCAAGAGTTTGTAGCTTCACCAGCTGCAGATGCACTGTTGTGCAATGACTGGCATTAATTCTCATGGTTCTGTTTCCTCTGCTCAAACCAGCCTTGAGCAGTTCAGCTGCTTCCCTTTCATATGTGCTTTAGTCAGCTAGGACATTGTGCAGACCTTTGCGTGTGTCTTCAGTTTGTGGTCATTTTATAGCAATGGACCGCCTGCATTTGGGTGTTTAGATGACTTGACGGCTTATTTTTGAAGTTCACTTTAGCTTTAGCAAAACAGAGAGCTACGTTTCACTTTTAATTAAAATTTTAGGGTAGAAACTAATAGATATTTTTAATCTGCAAATTAAAATAAACAATGTTATCTTCGGAATTGTTTACATTTTGAATGGAGAACATTTTTCTGAATCGAAACTATCTGCTAAACTCTCTCAAAGTAAAAGTGAATTTGTAAAGCAGGACTGCACAAGTCCTCAAGGTGCAAAGCCCAACAAGTCTGCAAAGACAAAAATGGGAGAAAGTAAAGTTAGTGGTTGGAATGTGCAGTATGTTTGCTGATTAGGCGTGGTCAGCAGGTAACCATAAAGTACTGGAGTTTGAGTTTTCACTTGATGAGTGTGTTCACTCTTTGCTTCAGCTAATCTGGGTGTGAACCAGCCGAGGAACACCTACACAGAGCAGCGATAATGGAGGAGGAGGAGGGCTGGCAAGGCGTTCGATAACGCAGCTCACTCGCTGACGAACGTCTTTAAGAAGATTTCTCCTCCCTGTGCATTCATGTTTCTTTGAGGCGGTGCAGAAGATGGAGCAGTTCAACCTCTGTTGCTCTCTCTGTCTGTGAGAAAGCACTCAGTTGGTCTGAGAAAAGACAATCACAGTGGCTATTTGTCTTTTTTTGGCACCGACCAGCAGCTGTCGATACAGCGACTGCCAGATGAGATTACGAGAAATTTAGTCAGCTAGAGTCGCAGATAGAGGAGGGAGTAAAACGAGAGTTATTGTGTTTCCTGGTTGCCTAGTTACAATGCAGCGCCTCTCTGATCATCAAACATGGATTTATCCGTCTATTACACGAAAGCCATCACTGACCTGAAATTTACTCCCGGATCATTTGGGAGACGGACGAGGAGTTCTCTCCGTCTCATCTGACAGCAGCACCGAAGCATAAATCCCAGTTGTTTGTTAATGCATTTGACTTTGAGTGTATTTTGGCGGCTGCTTGTTTGTATGTGTGTGTGTGTGTGTGTGTGTGTGTGTGTGTGTGTGTGCATGCATTTTCACTTGTTGACAAAGTCCATTGGGGAGGGAAGCATCTCTAACTGGGCCATTTAGATCAACCATGCAGAGCTAATGAGGATGAAATGTGTTGAGATGATGATGCTGGCTAAATGTACAAACACTTCAGGATCTCCACCACTGGACTGATAATTCCAATGCTGTTTGCATTCTTCTAAAAAAATGCAGTTAAGTTGGAAGTTTGAAAGTTAAAGTGGCTGGAATTTTGAATTTCGTTTGAATTTCTTATTTTACGTTGAGAACTTCTGCTCGTCATTGCTCCGACAGCCTGTCTGATTCTGCGCCATGTGAAGGAAGAGGAAACCAGCTTGACGGACGCTGCAGTGGGAAACAAAGCCAAAGCGGAAAGGGGGCTGGGAGGTCACCCAGCTTGTCCTGACATTTAGCCACATTCCTGTGGACTCTGGAGTGATCCTCTGTAATAACAAGGACTCGTGTGTATTTAAGTGTCTATCATTTTGTATTTATTTTTTTTACATTGATGATGAGTGACAGCACGACTGTCGGCTTGTGAAAACAATTTCGGTCTAGCTTGATGGCTTCCAATTTGTAACAAAAGGTCCATGCAGCAGAACTGGGAAGCCTTGATGTGTGGGGTAGGAAGCTTCATATTCAGAAATGGTTTCAAATTCTGTGAAGAGATCTTCAGATAATAAATTCATGTCAAAAATTGCTAATCGTGAATATGAAGGTCATCCGTTTCATGATGTTTCCAGGGTAGAATTACACAACTGAAGATATTTTGCTGTGAAGAAGATTAGCTTAAACGATGTTGGTGTCGCATTTTGTAATGGTAATCTCTATAGTCTTTTCTAGTATGCATCTTGCAACCCTTGTACTTTAAAAACCTTGGATTTTGGATTGTCTCTAAATCTTATCTAGAGCCACAGTTGCTGCTTTGGGTTTTGAATTTTAAGTCTGCATTTAAAAAAAAAAAAAAAAAAAAAACGTTTTCCAAGCTTCATCTTGTTGTTTCAGAGTAAATTGCAATCTGTTTATCCCAGATAAATTCAAATGTAATTTTATTCTAAAAATCAAGCAAAGCTGTAAATACTGCATCATTTCTGCAAATAACAGTCATTACACCTTTCAAAAGTCTTACCTGCTGGGGACGGACAAAGGGGTGCGCTTGTGCGTGAGCCTCAGATTATTAGGTTTGCCTGCAGAGGTGGAAAGTGGACTGTTGCCACCCACACAGTCTTGTAAATATTCCCTAGTATCTCCTCCTTGCCCTCTCTCTCTTCTTTTTGCACGCTCATGTGATTCATGCACTGACATACACACTGATTCTTCTCACGTCTGCTTTCTTTGACAGAACGGGCAGAGCACGACTGAGGATGGAGTCTCAGCTGCTGTCAAGGTAGGTGAGATGTGTGGAACAGAGACACGAACAACACACAGCAAAGCCAGAAAAACAGCACAGAGATGTGACTCTTTACGAGACTTTAACGTGCAGAATGCAACCAATTTTACTGTTTATCACAATCAAATCATGTTGAATTTCACTTTCCCTCTGACTCTTTGGCTTAAAGACGTACCGGATGACGGCACTGCTTCTGTTATCCAGTAGTGGTCACTTTAAGATGTTTCTTTTTTTGCTTTTTCCAATCCACATTTGTTTGTCCGTATGTGTACAATGATTAGTAATGAATTATATATTTATAGGGAAATGAGTCCTTGTTTTGTCCCCTATACGATGGATATAAGCAGAAAATACAACAGCAGCTTGTAATGCTGAAAAAATGCCAAAATCCTGAGATTAACTTAATGTTTTAAGAAATATTCTTAGGGTTCATTGTAAGACAAAGAATATTATTAAAAATGCTGAAACTTATTTGGTTACAGTGAGGGTAAGAAAACAAATGTTAAATGTTCATAGTAGTGTTAAATATCCAATAAATAAGCAAATTATTCATAGCGCTTAACATCTGAAGATGAAATTAAATCAGAATTAATCTGTTAATGTAAAATTTGAGTCATTTTTCTGGTTTAGGTCAAAGAGAGAGAGAGAGAGTTGTGCTCTGAAGCACCTCTCAGCTGGCTTATTTTAGTAGGATTTGCAATGACAGCTTGTTGAGTTTATTGGCCGGCCAGGGTTTAATGTCTGGCCACTCTATACAGCAATTTGTCTATGTCAAAACAAAAAGGCATTAGCAATGCAAATATTGCCTGTCGTCATCTGATCTGCTTATATATCAACAAAAATACCCACCGGCTGGTACATCCAAAAACACTCCCTCAAAATCACTGCGTCAGCCTTCCTCCCCTCCTGCTCGGCGTTTCTTTGTCCAGGCCTGAAACATGATGCTGTTTCCTCCTCTCTGTTACTTTCCCATCATGTGGCAGAGGACCAGGAAATGTTCCTTCTCATGTAGCGTCTCCTTTTATCTGGCCTGGCTCTTTAGGGACAAGTGTTGTAATGCAGTTTCTTCTTTCAGCTCAGAACAATGTGCTCAGGCTGAGGCAGAGCTGAGAGCAGATTTAAATCAGGGTTTCTTTGAAAAGGGACCAGAATGGGCAAAGATGTTAAAATGTGATGGTAAAATACAGCTAATCTTTCTGTAAATAGAAAGCAGCAGCAGCTAGTAAACAAATGTATTTTCCAGTGCAGCATTAGGAAGAAGTGTAATATGCAAAACTAACAGTTTTGTTTGCATTTCTATGGTTCTTTTGCAAGAAAGCATGCTCACATGCTTTTTTGCTTCATAAACACATTTATTTTGTAGTTTTTTTTTTTTCATAAATTTCCTGAAATTGTTTATGAATCACCAACCATATATTTTGTATGCAAGTTTTGGCGATTTGAATCTACAAACCAAAATGAAATAAGGCGTAACCAGCCTGTCTGCACATTGTTATAGAGCTTTAAATTCATGTGCCTAAAATGAAGGCCTCAAAATGTCCTAAACTTACTAAAGTGTTAGTTAGCCTTGCATACATTAATTTTCTTGTGGCAGGACTATTTAATAAGATACTCACCGGTATCTTTTTTTTCTCCGAGGATTTTTCTGTTGGGCAAAAGTTTGAGTTGCACTCAGAGCTCTTCATTGTGTTTTGTGACTCGATGCAGGTGAGGCTACCATTAACTATCTGTTAATATGCTTTGCTAGCTAGCTAAACTGTAAAGTGCAAATTTATTTGCTGGACAGCGTTTGTCTTCGACAGTGGTTCACTTCTGTTGTCAATGTGTACGAGGATGACAACAGAGGTACATTCTCTCCAAAAAAGAAAAAAAATCTTTGCTCTATAGTCTTAAAAATGACTTTAAAAAAATTGTCTGTTTTTGATTATTATGGACCATTTATTTGTCTTAATAAAAATGTTTGATTAATTGTGAATTGGTGAAACCCTGTTGGCTACTGCAATGCACTCAAAAGTAGGGAACCCAGAAGAAGATGAGAAATCTGAGAATAAACAGCATCTTGAAGACAAACGAACACAACAAACGGATCAGGAAGGAAGTTGTGGAGAAGTTCAAGCAGGTTGTGTGATAAAACAATATCCCACACTTTGAACATCTCCGTTCAGTTTATCATCTGAAAATATAGTTTGGATGCTTTTCTTCAGCAGGGAGAGGGAAGCTTTTCAGAGCTGGTGAGAAAATGGATCAAGTTAAATGCAATCTTTGAGGGAAAACTTATTAGAGGCTGGAAAAATGTCACCAAGCAGCAGGAAAGTGAACATAAACACCCAACCAAAGCTTATAATGGTATGGTTTAGGAAAAGGCACAATTGTGTGTTAGAATGGCCAGTCTTAAAGTTGTGATATCATGTATTTTCCAGGCAGTTTGTGCTATAAAATGGCATTATCACGTTACCTCCAGTTGCTACAAAAATGCTGAATATATCAAACATGACTTCCTTGGAGAGTTGGACTTACATGTACTTTGTATGATGAGCAAGGCAGACACTCAGTTCCACCAGGTGTTTGCTAATTGCTGCTGCCACTAGTCTGGAGGAGCTGAGTGGGGAAACTCTGCTGGAGAGTGCAGCTCAGAGGAGGAGCTTTGTGGAAATGGGCGGTGCTTTGTGAGAGTAAGCGTTTAGGCACACCCAAATGGTTGCTATGGGAGATTCAAGGATTTCTCAAACATGCATAAAAGAAACAAAGCAGCACTCCAGGTATGTTTTTGACGAGATAATAACATTTTATGAAAAGCTAGAAATAATACGTAATTCCTCTTCTTTAATAAAATACATTAAAGGGTTTGGTTATAACATTGCCATCTGATGGTCAGGTAAGGTACTACAGCAGTCCTGATGCCATTAGGTTTAATGGCGTCATGACTGATCATGTTAAACGTGGTTTTGCAATTTCTGACCCGAAAGTGAAACCATAAAAAATTCTGGTTATTGGAGTTAAATTTGTGTCGTCATTGTTGTTAGATGTTTTTGTAATCAGTTAAATTTTATAGTCAGAATATGATGCTGGGATTAATGATGGTGGTGGTGTTGCTGATCAGGAGTGTGTGTGTGTGTGTGTGTGTGTGTGCGCGCGCGCGTGTGTGTGTGTGGGATAGAAGACCTTGTCCCCAGACACCACGCCAGGAGGACAGTTGTAACCAGGCGCTGCAGCGATCAATATCAAGCTCCTACTTAAATGCTGGGAATCTGATAATGGCTGCTGTTATCTGCTCCAGCCATGGGAGATACATGGCTCCACCAGACCTGATGAGGGAGAGAGAGCAGCAAGAGGGCACAGAGGGCAGGAGAGTCGGTCCTTAGTGATCCAACTGATTCTTCTGGAGCCTGACAGCGGCTTTGAGTAGTTCCCAACGCTGAGGTTTGGGTCTGTGTTTGAGTATTTTTAGGGCCAGTGAGGTTAGCTCTGTGGACCTGGTCAGACATGCTGCAGAGCTAATGAGCTAGCTCCATCCTGTCTGCCTCTTCAGGAAGTCCAAAGTGTGAGATACACGAGTACAACGCTTAGCTAAAGGTCAGCTGTCGTCCCTCAGCTGCAGTTTGAGACTGGCAGCAACAGATAGTACCTGAGATTATTCACACCCATAAAAGGTTGAGGTTTAATGTCATACTAGAATTTTACTGCCATTTTTTTTCTTCAGACGCAAAGTAATATTAGCATTTTGGAGTGACCTAACAAGAGTCTAGATTTGAATGTCATGGAGAATCTGTGGAGGGGTTTAAAATGAGGGTGATGGCAAAGAGGCCGTCCAGCCTGACTTGGAGTGTATCACCAAAGACAAATTGTGAAAATACTAGTGGGAACATGCAAAAAGCTGATGAGAAAGGCCAGATTACTGTGATATCAATCACAGAAAATGTGAAAATGACATCACATTTTCAAAGATGAAATGATACAATTTCTTTTGTTTTGCATTTCTTTCTTGGTTGAAAATACTTAAAAATCTAAATAGGCCTGGAATTTGATTTGATTTTGAGCTGAACTGGAAGTTAGACTTTGAAAACATGACTTTCTTTGGTGTTATTGACCAACTTGTTTGTTTCTTTCCAGAGGAGGCTGCTCCAGTGAGTCTTTGGGATGTTCTTTATAAATTAAGATGAGATCATATAATAAATATAGAACATAAATACTCTGAACTTTCCTTCTGATGTGTATTGTTGCACACATCACATTCTTCTTATGATCTATTAAACTTATGGATGCACTGGTAAGAAAATTTGGGCCAACTTCGATTTCCAATATGCCCGACAGTTCCTGTTTAAAAAAATATTATTGACTGATACCGATGTTGTGCAGCTCTGACTAAAATCCCAACATATGCCCCTGTCTTTTGGATAGCTGTATGTGTCGTGATGTGACGATACAATAGTTAACAAATTGATTCTGGTGAGAGGTTCTGACAGCATGACCTGACAGCAGAACTCGGTAACCTCAGTGGATCTGTCTAGCCACAGTGGGATGATATTACCCAGCAATTTACTCCCTGGCAGGAGCCCAGGATTGCAGTGATTTGCTCTCAAAGGAAAAGTGAGGCCTTTGTCCTATTTCTAGCATCAGATCACATCAGACCCATTGCCCTTGATGATGCATTGATCCACTAAGCTGAAACAAGGAAGATGTAATCTCAAACGTAGGGAGAGATGTGACGGAAGCAGATGTTTTGGATAATTTTTATTTATTTCATTGTTTTTGTGAGGGATTCTGTCAGCATTATGAAGACTAGTCAGAAGCAACAAAAGACTGCAGAGCAAAGAGCAGGAAGGAGATGCTAAAAGTGGGAAAACAACCCAATAAAAAGAATAAAAGTATTGAATTATCAACTGAATACAAGATAAACTGGAACTCTCTCTTTTTCTGTCTTTAAGCATCTGGTTTTACTTCAATTTCTTTCGAAGCTGAAAATTTGACGAAGCTGGAGAGCGATGCGCTCTGACAGG